CCAAGAGCCTAGCTGGGTGGATACACCCATGAACGGTTAAAAGACAGATTTGAGTTCGAAGTCCACTCGCAGCAGATGAGTGGAATATCGTAGATTTTAATTATTTGGAACCAGTCAGTTCAATGATGATATTCCAAGGCCGTTGTCATGGTACAGAGAAGATTAGCATGGCCCCTGCCAGGGGCAGGCCTTGGTTAGCAGTTCTGGGTAGCCTGAACTGCTATCAGGCCGTGAGCCTCAGGGGTGCGTTATATTCGGGAGGGAGAAGACGACGTGGACGACGAAGATGGTGAAGGCAAAGTGATGGCGAGGAAGAAGTCATAACTCGCCCGTTCCTTGACGGAATCGGGAGAAGTAAGACTTGAAATTGGGGTTCTGAGCCGAGGCGAAGCTCATGGTGAGGTCAGATTTCATGTAGGATAGATGGTATAGCCCGTATCGACTGTATGGACTGCACGGAGGTATGGAGGAAGCCAAGAAGAAGAAGGGGGAAACGGGCAAATCTCGCTCGTTTTTGGTCGGATTTAAGAGAAGGAAGAACCTATATAAGGGTTTTTGACCATGGCGAATCCATTGGTGAAGATAGAATGGAGGGAAGATTAGTAGGTTGGGAGTTACGAGGAAAAATTACTGCGCTCAGCTATGGCGGGGAGTAAAGAAAAGGTGGGAGCAGCAGGCGCGAAACCCACCCGTTTCTTGATGAAATCGGGTGAGACAAATACTTATTCTGAGGTTTTGGAATAGGGCGGGCTGAACGGTGACGTCAGACTCGGCGATGGATGGGTAGATTTTGTGTTGTGTTGAGCATAGGCTGCGCTGGCTGGGGAGGTTCGAGTGGCAGATGTATCTGATCGTTTTTTCGGGGAAGGTTCAATTTATTTTATTTTGTTATTTTTCTTTTTGCTCGTCCTATCTGCGAGCGTGGATGCTTGGTCACTGATGGACAACACTAAGAGCGAGGGGCACACGGGAGGTTGCATGCTTCCTATGACTTAGCCAAGGGGCTATCTAGTTAGACATGGCTGTTCTGCTAGGTTACAGCAAGCTACGAGTGGACGGGTGCAGTGAGAAGGGGGGTGGTTCGGATACTTATCTGCACGGCCTATGTCGGTCGGTGTACCTGTCCCTGTTGTAGCGGGAGTTTACTCCTATCTCGCACGCTTCGGCAAGTGTGAACTGTACGAGCCTGCACGTACACAGAGAGAGAGAGAGAGAGAGAGAGAGAGAGGGAGGGAGGGAGGGAGGGAGGGAGGGAGGGAGAGAGAGAGAGAGAG